ATGGATAGTAGAATTTAAGGCTACAAAATAGACAAGAATAGAATTTCACTCGCATGATATGACTCGACAACGACGCATATATGCTCGTCACCTCACCTATACATCGTATTTAACAACCAAACACGTAGCAAATGAACACATAATACCTATTCCCTCAAGCCAAAGTTAGACACGACACTTACCTTGCTCTGAAGACCACTTAATTCTCAATCACAGATTCTCCTTTGGAATTCATCTCCAAACCACTCGTATCTATTCAAAAATGATTCAACAATATCAAATATTGCTAAAGGAATCAATTATATTTCATGAATTAAATTTCCCAAATTTTTCCTCCAAAAAGTCAAAAAATTGACCCCGGGCCCGCTTGGTCAAAATCCGATGTTCGGACTAAAATCCTTTTACCCATTCATCCCTGAGCCCGAATATAGAATTGGTATTGGAATCCGACCTCAAATCGAGGTCTAAATCCCCAAATCCCTAGTTTCTACCCTAACCCCTAATTCTACCATGAAAACTCTAGAGTTTAGGTTGAAAATTCAAGAAATGTAATGGGTAATTGAAAGAAAATGGTTTAGAATCACTTACCAACAATTTGGGGTAGAAATGGCTCTTGCAAAATTGCCACTCACCGTTTGGTTTTTGAGAAAATAATTTTTTGGCTAAAATCCCGTTTTTGAATTCTGTTAGCGCTGGGTGACAGTGTTCATCATGTTCGCGAAAGCACTGTCGCATTCGCGAAGGGTACTGGCTGCCAAGCTTATGCGTTCGCGAGACCCAGCTCGCGTTCGCGAAGAGTAACGCCCCGATCGTTTCGCATTCGCGAAGAAGAAATCTTCAGCTGCCTAGTTTACTCTTCGCGAACGCGAAGAAGGAAATGCCAGAACACCTGCTGCAGCAAAATACCAGATTTCCAAAGTCCAAAACATCTCGTGGTCTATCCGAAACTCACCCGAGCCCTCGGGGCTCCAAACCAAACATGCACACAAGTCTAAACACATCATACGAACTTGCTCGTGCGATCAAATCGTCAAAATAACACCTAGAACTACGAATTTAGCACCAAAACAAATGAAATTCTCAAGAACACTTTAAAATTCATATCTTCTCAATTGGACGTTCACATCACATCAAATCAACTCTGTTTCTCACCAAATTTCACAGATAAGTCTTAAATATCATAATGAACTTGTACCGAGCTCCGAAACCAGAATACGGACCCGACACTAACAATGCCAAACATCAATCAATTCTTAAAAACAATTAATTTTTAGACTTTTAATTTTCATCAAAAATTCATAAGTTGAGCTAGGGACCTGCGAATTCGATTCTGGGTATACGCCCAGGTCCCATAATTCGATACGGACCCACTGGGACCGTCAAAATACGGATCTGGGCCCGTTTACCAAAACCTTTGATCGAAGTCAACTAAAATCAACTTTTAAGGCATAAATTCTTATTTTCATCAATTTTCAACATAAAAGCTTTTCGGAAACCTGCGTGGACTGTGAACGCAAATCGAGGAGGGTAAAAATGAGTTTTTAAAGGCTTAAGAGCACAGATTCGAGTTCTAAAACATAAGATGGCCTTTTGGGTCATCATAGACTTGCTCCAGTTCTTCGACTGTTGATTTGGTGACGTCGGAATCATCGGGGACTATGAAAGACTTGGGAACTCTGTAGTCTTCGTCCTCATCCATCCCCTTCTTCTCCGGTTCCATCGAAGCTAGTATCGGTAATTGCTATTTGGTTTCGTCTTTAGCCACCAGGCTCATACCCTTCGATATCGAAAGTGTGGATACCGGGGTCACCTCGTTGATTGCGAACATCTCTTTTGCGACCGGTTGTTCTCCGTAAACTATTTTAATTCCTCCTGGCGTCGAGAATTTCAACACCTGGTGCAGCGTCAAGGGCACTGCCCTCATGTTGTGAATCCATGATTTCCCGAACAGAGCATTGTACCTCATGTCTCCTTCGATCGCACAGAACTTTGTTTCCTGAATGGTTCCGGCGGTGTTCACTGGAAATGTTATCTCCCCTTTAGTGGTCTCACATGCCATGTTGAATCCGTTTAGAACCCTGACTGCAGGCACGATTTGGTCTTGTAGACCTAGTTGTTCCAAGACCCTCAATCTAATGATATTGGTCGAGCTACCTGGATCAATTAACACACGTTTAACTCGAGACTTAATCATTGTGGGGTTGCACGATGCCTTCAGCGTCCTCGACGTTGAAGGACACGGTTCCTTCTGGTACGTAATCTCGAGTCCATTTTTCCCTCGTAATCGATACTTTGGTGCGTTTTAACATCGGCCCCTGGAGAACGTCGACCCCACCGATAATCAGGTTAATGACGTGTTGAGGTTCCTCCTGCTCGATCTGCTTGCTAGAATTTCTATTTCGGAAATGATTTTTGGCTCGATCGCTCAGAAACTCCCGAAGATATCCGTTGTTGAATAATCGGGCTACTTCCTCTCTCAACTGTCGACAATCCTCTGTTATGTGGCCGTGTGTGCCATGATATTAACATATAAAGTTGGTTTCCCTTTGGGCTGGATCGGACTATAGAGGTCGAGGCCACTTGGTGTCTTTGATGCGTCCGATGGCGGATACGACAGCAGCAATATCGACGTTGAAGTTGTACTCCGATAACCTCGGCGCTTCCTTAGGCCCAATGGGCCTGTCAAAATCGTTTTTGCTCATGAGTCCCTGCTTATTTTGACTCTGATCGCTTCTCCTTTCATTTCTCACAGTGTTTCGTCCAGACCTGTTACCCCTACTATCACCTTTGTACGGTTGATACTGATCCATACTTAACCTTAGTTCTTGATCAATGTCTCTTTTGGATCTGTCACTAGCTCGGACAGGATAAACATACCCAGAAGGACCCCAAGTTGATCATCTTCGACCCTAATTTTTGATTGATATCGGTTATGCACATCGGCCCAAGTTACAGCCGGATATTCTACCAGATTTTGCTTCAACTGCTGCGAAGACAACGAGCTTCGAGTATTGAGTCCTTGGGTGAGGGGCTGAACGGCCCAATCGTCTGCCACCGGCAGCAGGTCCATCCGTTCCATTTGAAACCTTGACACGAACTCCCTGAGCATCTCGTTATCTCTTTGCTTTACCTTGAAAAGGTCCGACTTCCTGGTTTTGACCTTGATGACTCCGGCGTGCGCTTTTACAAAAGCATCTGCAAGCATAGCAAACGAGTCAATAGAATTAGGGGGGTAAGTTGTGATACCATATCATAGCTCCTTTTGACAAGGTCTCTCCGAACATTTTCAGCAGGACAAATTCGATCTCATCATCTTCTAAGTCGTTCCCCTTGATGGCGCACGTGTACGAGGTCACATGTTCATTTGGGTCAGTTGTTCCGTTGTACTTAGGAATTGCAGGCATGCGGAACCTTTTTGGGATCGACTTCGGGGCTGCGCTCGGAGGAAAAGGTTTCTGAACAAACATTTTGGAATTTAGGCCCTTCAATATCGGTGGTGCTTCGGGGATTTGATCGACCCTGGAGTTGTAGGTCTCCCACCTTCAATCTCAGGGTTGGTCGTGGGTTTAGCTTCGTTTGACCTATCTGCGGCTGGTTCATTTATGCGAGTGTTTACCCGAGATGATTCGGACTCAACCTTACTGGGAGCGTGACTTTGGTTCTGCAGTTGGGCTATCGCTGTCTGTTGGGCCTGCAGCATTTCGAAGATCACCCGTAAGTTGATCCTATCTCCTTCACCGTCACGAGTATTTTGGGTTGCCGAGATGACTCCCCCGCGGATGCTGTTCTCAGGATCGGTAGGCAAGTTCGTGTTGATGGACATATGTGAGTTGGCGTCTATCGGGTCCGTGGCCGGAATTCATTTGGGATCGGCAAAGGGAACCTCGTTATCGGGCGCCTTGTTGTTGTTTTTGCCATGGTGGCTAGACTCAGCATTCGTGCTTAGAGGGGCAGATTGGGAATTTGACATTTTAAACGTTGACCTGAAATCAAAGACACTTCAAAGAATAAATGTGAAGTAGGGTGTGTTATGGAAATTTGTATCAAATTGCCACTATTATCCATAGCTCCAGGTGGGCGCCAAACTGTTTACCCTCAAAATCGGATAACAATTAAATTTGTAAGTGATTTTAAGGATAAACGGATTAATTTGATACAAAACGATAAATTGGGTTAGAATGACTAAATAGAAATACAGTAAATTCAAACCACACGAGGATGATTCCAGCTTTATTGAAATATTCACCCTCGATCCAGGCTCACGGTGGGCGATATTGATGAATGAAAAAAAATAGCTTAGAAT